CTTTTTTCTCCCTTTCCTGGCCAGACGCCTGCGGCTGCAGATAACAAACCGGCCTGCACTGAGCCAGGGGTTTCCCTCCCAAACACTGGGCCTCCTGAAATAGCTTCACTTTCAGAGTCAGGCTGAAAAATCTCCTGTGGGAATAACTAAGGGGCTTTGTTCAAAATGTTACATTGTGCCATGATGAGAATATGCAAACCCATTCTGCAAACGATGCGTGTTTTAGGGGAAAAAATAATTTTCAGTTCTCCCACCGACAACTGGGTCATGCCATCTCAGTACTTAAGGAGATTCTGGAAGCTCCCAGCCAGACCCTTCCCAGGCTCAGAGGTGGGGAGTCTCCTGCACAGACCGGGAGCCAGCCCCTCCAGGAGCCCTTGTCCCTCGCTCTGTTTTTATTGTAGATCACACACCTTCCTTGGCTATTTTCCCTCCGAAATCCAACCGATTTCCTCAAAATCCAATTTACCTGGAATAAGCAATTTGGTTAATCAGACGTGCTGAGCCTTGAGAAATCGGTCTCTTCAAAGCCTTAGTGATAACTGGGCAGAAGAGAAATAACTCCAAGAGAAAAGCAAATGATTCAAATGATAAGTAAGCACACCTCCCGGGTCCAGGCGTCCTGAGCTGCATGAAGCCAAATAAAAATAAAAACAAAAATAGGATTAGTTGTAGGGAAGCAGACCCTTCAGTGATAAATTCCCACACCTATGATCCCAGGAGAGATCTTAGCCCCGTCAAGAGGGAGAGCTGACATGCAAGTTTTAGGACCTGGCTTAGGAGCGCAGTCTCCAGCCAGAGCTGCAGGGAGGGACAGGCACATTCCAGGGCTTTTAGACCTTTCAGGACATGGGCTGTGTGACATCAGCCCTCAGAACGCCAGACCCCGATCACAGAGTTCTCAGTTCTGTCCCCTGATTAGGTTAATTTTAGCCTCCCAGGAAATGTGGCACTTCTAAATAATATTGTCAATCATTTTATTCTAAGTCTTGAACCTTTGCAGGGTTTTGTTCCCCCTAGAAAACACATTTAGTGTTTGTCTTATAATCAAAACATCGTTTGAGATTTCAATAAAAAGAAGAAAAGTCCTTCTGTTATCGAGTCTGTTATCATGTTACCGAGTTCTGGTCACTACACAATAGGACAGTAAGTCGGGAGGCGAGGAGTTGGGGCAAGGAATGGCGACTTTTATTCAGGAAGCGGGCAGACCGAGAAGATGGCCGTCTAGTGTCCTGGAGAACCATCTTCCCCAAGTCAGCACTCAGGCTCCTTTTATACTAAAAGGGGAGGGGGTGTGGTTGGTTGCTGTGAACTTCTTGGTGTAAGAATTCTTTGTTCTTGGAATCCTTTGTTTTATAGCTGTCCAGGTGGGTCAGATCATGGTGTCCCTGCAAACCTCCAACAAACCAAACTGTTATTTTCTTTTCCGCAACTGTTCTCTTTTATGAATGGGAAAGTGTTCTACCCTTAAAGGTCAGAGCCTTGAGAATGAGCTGTCCTGTATATTTCAGGCTTTAGGCAACATTTCGTTTACAAAAAGGGCAGAACCAGCAAGACTAAGCCTAGGAAACAGAGAACAGGGTTAAAGTCAAAGGAGCAGAGCTAATATGAAGTCAGACTGGTTCTTTTCTATTACACTGCCTTGTGGGGAGGTGAACAGCGTCCTCAGACCCGAGAGCTCTAGGTGTAGCCACTTACCACAACTCAGAACTGTGTTCGCTGACATATAGTGATAGGGTTCAGGAAATTGGTAAATGTAACTGAACATCTATAACTATACACATAGTTTTATAACTAGCTGTATATATACAACATATAACTGACACACAGTTGACCTATGTCATGGTTTTATGTATGGTTGTGTATGTTATACAGATAGCAGATAACAGGCAGTGTAACTGAGAACTGTGGACAGATATTGATAATGTACCACATGGAGAGAAGACAGATTATGAGAATTGTCTGATCTCAAGGTACAGAGAGCCTGTCGAGCCAGTTCCCTGAGACGAGGGGGTTCATTTAGCTACACGAGGCTTCTCCCAGAAGCCCAGGGACAGGACCGGAGCAGGGCAGGCCTCTAGGGCACAGGCTCGGGGGGGTGAGGGTGGGGCTGTCTGGCCCTGTGTAAATGTTGTAGTCATGTGGGAAGTACAGGGTGCCGGCCTGACACTTTAAGTAATTTCATTCTGCCTTTCATCGTCTTAGTTTCTGTTTTACAGAAAGTTTTTAGCTTCTAATCAAAAGCTAATTTCAAATTTAATAAAGAACGAAGCTGCAGTTGAAAATGCAAACGCCGTCTGGGTAAATTTGATAACGTTAAAGGGTTATTGCTAAGGTTTAGGATACAATAATGGTAGGCAGTATGCTTTTCTTTTTTCTGCAAAGTCTTTCTTGTATAGATCCATGCTGAAATATGTATGCATAAAATTTTGATGCCTGGGGTTTGTTCTGAATGTGAGAAGGACAATATGGGGCGAGGGTGGTGATAAGAAATTCCAAGCCCTGAATCACGCTTGTCACTGCCCCCCGCAAGAGGAGTGACCATGAGGCTCTCTCACTTGGTGGTGGTGGTTCAGGAGCGGGAAGACCATGTCCATGGGAGAGAGGGAGGATGCAGTGAGAAAGACCCGGGGTCGGGGCAGGAGTGGGGAATCCATGGACACAGCCGAGCATGAGAGGCCCTTAGTAATCAGAAAGGTCCCCACTGCATACACATGTCCCCGTTCACTCTCACCCCAGGATGCCAGTCCTCACCCAGCACACGGCCGGCTCCAGAAGTCTCCAGGCTGACAGGAACTCGGTGGAGCATGGGTGACTGAGTCACTAGTCGATTACAGCCCTGGGAAGGCCAGCAGTGATGTGGCCAAAGGGCAAAGACTCAAAGGAACAGGGCACTTAGCTGAGTGGGTAGGGAGGTCTGGGGGTTTGGCGGAGAAGAGAGCCCACCGCGAAGCTGTGCCTCTGTGAGGGGCTAGTCTCCCAGGAGGAAGAACGTTCAGGGTTTCCCGGGCACAGACTGAGGGTTTAGGGGCTGGTATTAGTCAGGGTTGTCGACCTGCAGGTACAGCCAACCCCCCGTCTCCATCTCAACCCAGTAGAGGCTGTCTCCTGCTCACTATGGACCAGCACATGTCTGAGGGGGATGCAGGGACCCAGACCCCTTCCCATGGATGCTCTGCCTCCCGCCAGGAGCCCAGGGAAGAGAGAGCAGAGGCAGGGTGGGTTCAGAGCTCAGGCTTGGCAGTGGCGTGCATCCCTCCGCCCACCTCTCTGTGGTCATCCCCGCAGACAAGCAGGAAGGAGACAGAACGTGGATGGGGAGCCTCTTGCAGGCTCTACCCCATCGTTACATGGGGAACGAGGATTCAAGAGGGAAGAGTCAGATTTGGGAAGGGGAACAGGAGGCTGGGTGAGGACGGGCTGGGAGGGGACAGGGTAGAGACCTCAGATGGTGGCATGTGAGGTGCGGGAGACCGGGGCCCTCTGGTGCAGGGGTCAGCTTAGTCCAGCGGCCTGCACTCTGGGGAGGAGGAGTCCCAGCCTCCCGGACCATCGGCTCTGATCTGCTCCAGTGAAAGCTCACTGGGGAGGCACTGTCTGCAGGGTCCCAGAGAGACTCAAGGCTCCTTCTTGAGGGGAAACCGAGAGGGGCAGTGTGGCCCCGGGCACATTCTAGAACCTCAGGTCATTCTGGCTTATCCGCATATAAAAATCCCTGACCCACACAGTGTGCACCGGGTGGCTGCAACCAGGATGATAAATACCCATGTTCATGAACACCGAAAGGTCCTGTGCCATGGCGTTGAGCTGTAAGTAATCAAATAGAATAGAGAATACATGATTTACATAAACTGAAGCACAAACACTTCTGTATGCATGTACAAGATACATGTGTCTGCAAGCATGCCTGCCACAAGGGTACCATCTGAATCATAGGATTTCTTCCTTTATTCGCAGCACTTTTGAGACTTACATATTCAGGAGTACTGAATGATAAGGAAACAAAACAAAAATGATAAGGAAAAAAAAGAGAAACAAACTAAAAAATCTCCAAGCCCCAGCCCAGCAGGAAAAAAAAATGGACCCAAACTGAGCAAAGGGTCCGGGCTGGTGAACTGCAGGTGCAGGTCTGAGATGCAGGTTGCCTGGGCGGGGTTTGCACCTCTGCTAACGGACAGATGAGCACCCGTGATCCTTCCGCAGCTCAGAAGGGGCACACACGTCACTACAGAAGCGGAATCCACAGGCGTTGGTAGGTTCAGGATGTGATGACCGCAGACGTGGGCTACGAGGGGAGGTGTTCTCACCCCAGCTAGAGGGGGAGAGGGGTGGTCCTGGGGTTTTCAAAGGGCAGTATGTCCAGGGCCTCCTGGTGGGCACACTTCAGGCCTGAGTGGGAAAGGCTTGTAAACTTGGCGGCTCCTTTTAAAAGCATCTGGGCTTGCTCACCCAGGAGGGGAGGCGGGATGGAGCAGAGGCGGGAGGGCAGGGCTCGCCCAGGCTGCCTTTACCTTTCCTCTGACTGACCTGGAGCTGTTCCCCCTGCGCCCCATCGCAGACCTCCTCACCGCGCAGGTAGAAGCCCAGAGAAGAGCATCACGCAGACACCCGACACGCACACACACGCACACACACGCACACACTCGGGTGGGGGTCCTCATGCAACCAATGAACAAGGACGACACATGCTTCACAACCTAAGTGAACACGCAATGTAAATACAGATAAACAAATGTACACTATTCAATATAGTGTATAAACAGACAGTATAGATGAACACACACCTAGAAGCAGTCAGTCTGTGGCCCAGGCCCCATCGACCTGTGCATTTCCCCCAGCCCCGCCCACTGATTCCGTCCAGGTACCGGTGGGCAGGGGCACCCCCTAGAGGCTTCAGTGTCCTGGGGTCGCAGACCCGAGGGGCTGCTGGGGGTCCCCGTAGGCACTGCCCTGGAGGAGGCTGTGAGCTGCTTCCAGACGGTCAGTGTGCTGCTGGCGAGATGGGAGCTGGACGTGGCAGGAACAGGCCCCACTGCAGCGTCCCGGATGGGGAGCACCCCGCAGCCCGCCAAGGCCGAGGGCACCGCGCCCCAACCCACTTGGCCCGTGCCTGGCGCTTCCTGCAGACACTGCTCCCACCCGCAGCCCCAGGAGGAAGCCCTGCCTTGCACCGCACCCAGCTTTCCTCCGGAAGACCCAGGAGGCTGATGGGGGGGCCTTCAGCTGCGAGCCCGGCCTTCAGGGTGTGGAGTGAGGTGGCGCCGCTCCGCCTTCAGAAGGACCCCCCCGCCCCCGGAGCCGCGATCCACTTCGGTGGAGGTAAGAAGGGCAGAAACTTTGAGCCCACCCAGTCCTCTCTCTTCAGCATAATGGGGTCTTAGGGTCAGACCTGTCACTGGGCAGAACCCCACGGGCCCTAACTGGGGCAGACCCCCTCCCCCATCTCCTCTGCTGCAGCTCCTCTGAAGGACCCAGAGAATAGTATCTCGTGCATATCTGAGTTTTCAGATGCTAAGAACCACCACCAAATGGAATAAATTAACTACTTGATGATCGTGGGCACGTGGCCCCCAGACCTCCTGGTGCCTAAGGACTGAGCACCGTCAAGCAATCAGAGAACTGTGCACAGCTGACCACAGACCCTGGGCCGCCCCTCCCTCACCTGGCTTTAAAAAGTCTCAGCTGAAACCCTTGAGGAGTTCAGTTTTTTGGGCACGAGCCACGCATCTTTCTTGCTCGGCCCAGCAGCAGACCTTTCTCTGCTCCAAACTCAGATGTTTCTGTATTTTTTGGCCTCACTACGTATCGGGCACACGGACTTGTATTCGGTAACAGCCCGAGTGGAGTCACCCTGGCCTGGCCTCCTGCTCGCTGGCCCCTGTGCTGGGATGGACCTGCCAGGCTGTAAGCCCTCTGTAGGTGTTGCTTTGTTCAACTCACTGGGAAGGGGACGGTGTGTCATCCTGCAAAGACACCTGCACCTGGGGACACCAGTTCAGGTCCCTCTGGTTGTCCCAGAGCAGGCTAGCCCAGTGAGCACTGTCACGGAGAGCACCGTGTGCTCGCCGTCCCGCCTCCCACATCCTCCTGGAGGAAAAGCGGGCCTAGGCCGGTGGTTTTCACCCAGGCCCCACCGCCTCCAAGCTCAGGGGTTTGGACAAAGTCACTTCTCTGCAGCTCTACCCAGGAACTGAGGCTGGATGAACTTCTAATGGGAGAAGTACAGGGCGTGCTTTATAGACAGACCCTGTACAGGGAAGGGACGGGACCACTGGGCAGCACCTCCTTTACTTCCTGAGCACTTAGCTCAGCTCCTGTCTCCCCCAGGAGCTTTTTGAAGCACGCCAAGCCCCTCACATGCACCCACCGCACCCGAAGACTGGAGCAGTCTCCCCTCATCCCCACAGTGCCTGGCACGCAGCTCTGTCAGGACTTCAAACACATCCTTCTGAGAAAGTCCCCCAGTTCTCACCATCCTTCCCCCTTCTCCCTAACAAGCACTGCTCCTCGGTGATGCGGTCTGCCCTGGCGGCACTCAGGCGCCCGGGGCTGGTGCCGTATCGATGGTTTTTGTTCCCTTCTAGGTGGCCATCCATGAAACTGGCCACGTCCTCGGTTTGCCTCCCATCCACAGGACAGGACCTGGAATACAGCCGAATTCTATTCCCTTGGTGCCTGCATGCGAGTGGGACTGGTCCGATAGAAAAGCAGTTTGAAAGCTGTAGGTAAGACTCTCCTGGGGGAGGTCATCCCCGGGCACACAGAGGACACTCAGTGTTTCAGAGCACCACTCACCCCCCGCAGGCAGGCCAGCCCCCAAGGAGCACGAAGCAGGACAAGTCCAACAGCACCGAGAAGAGCTGCCCACTAGCTCTGTGATGCTGATTCTCTTGGTTAAAGGTGGCTGCGCCCAGACTGTAGCCGCGGTGGAGAGCCAGGCATCCTCCCCGGATACTCCCTCCCTCCTGTGCCCTCTTCCCGTGACACATTGTATTCTCTGGAGGGGAGGACACGACACAAATGGGCCACCCCAGCCTCTGAAGGAAGTTGACTGCAATCCCGAGGCCAAGAGCAGGAGAAGTTTCATCTCTATTTAGTTGTTCAGGGCAAAGTGCTAGAGGCTAATTAGTTAACTGCAATGATGAATGATTTAGCACAGAGGCTGAAGGGAAGGAAGGTGACCTTCCTTTCTTCCACTTAAAACAGGGACCATCCGCACTTCCGTTCTACTCAGACCATCCTGTTCGTTGGCAGTCACCACCCTTGGAGAGTAAGCGATGCCAGGACACACTTATTGCAGTGAAAATCTTACTTTGCTGTGTGCCCAGAACCCAGCTTCTTCCCTCTAATGCGGTCAGATCAGCCATCAAAAGCACCAGCAGCTAGGCTGAGGGTGATCAGATAACTCGCACCCAGGTGGAGATGTGGAGGGTGCCCGGGGTCGGCACTGGCGACGGTGAAGCCAGGCCTGTGGCCAGGCCCCTGAGCTCAGCCAGGGAGGCCCACTTCCAGTCTCACGTGGTGTCTTGGCTTCAGGATGTTTGAACAGAAAACCCAGCCTTGTAGTTGTCTCTGTTCAAGTCACACAGGGAAGTCAGCACAGTTGGTTTGTGCACCAGCTGTCAAGTGGCTGGACGGTTCTATTTTTTTCTTTTTTCTAAGGTTCATGCAAAGAATCATTTGATGCTACATTTGACTGGATTTGCAGACAGACCACCAAGGAGAAGTGATGGTGAGATTCAGCACGTGTTTTTTACATACCAGCTGGTGTTAGCTTTAAGAAAATCAAAACCACCAGACTCTACAGGGACCCTGTCCAGATCCTCACAGGCTGGCACGGAGTCCCCACCCGAAACATCGACGAACTTTGCCTGCATCAGACGCAGAGAAGAGGTGAGCATTATCTTTCAAAGGTACAGTTCTTATGGGTGGCTCTGGTTCTGTTACCGAACAAATGCATTCAGACCCAGTGTTTTGCGCCCCTCCCGGCGACTCTGTTGCAAGGCTCTTGCAATCACTGACTTGTTATCTGTCCGTCCTGTCGGACTCTAGGCTCTGGGAGCACTGGGATTGGGTTGCATCCCCTAATCTTTTTAAGAAGGCACCGAATGCACTGAATGAGTGAGTGAATGAATGAGCGAGGGAGGGAAGGTTGCCAGGTGCTGAGGTGGTTGCCAAAGACTTGTAAGACAGAGCCTCCCTACGAAAGTCTGTGACTCTGACTCCAGACAGAAAAAAGCCGTGGAAGCTGACCGATAGGATAAGTGTGTTTGGAAGGGTTGAATAAGCAGATGAGGTGATCACCGCCGCTGGAATCAGAGGCTGAGCCACCCAGGACCTACGGCTTGATCAAACTCGAAGGATGGGTAGCACTGGAGTGCCCAGAACAGCACATCCGGATGGTGTGTGCGTGGCGGGTCGGGGTGGTGCTCAGACTCAGGAAGAAGAGGGAAAACCTTCGAGCAGAAACAAGGATGTCCTGGGACAGCCGAGCCCAGGGAGGTGTGGCAGGGCCCTCACCCCGGAGGCGGGGGGGCCAGGTTGGAGAAACGGGGACCATCAGCCCTGAACACCAGGGCTGGGGGACTTCATGGGCAGGTGGTGGGGAATCGCTGGCGGTTTGTGAGCTGGGAGGAGGCGTGCTTGGCTGTGAGGCAGACGCGGAGGTCAGGGCAGAAGGCAGCCTTCTGGTTGCTTCTTCCCGCCCCACCTCTGTGCCCGGGTCAGAGGCCGGCTGCCTGCCCCTGAGTCTAATCTCAAACATGATTTCGTGGTTACTGCCTTTTCTTCCCCTTGCCACCCAGAAACAAGTGGTGGGCACTCCCTCTGCCTGAATCCCAGTGATATAACCACCCTGCTTTAAACGGCTCAAAAAGAGTTAAGAGGCAGGAGCCAAAGGAACTTTGCATGCAAATTTTGCCTTAAGAGACTTTTGCATAAATTTGGTCTTAATTTTAAATGTCACACAAAAGAAGAATTATTTTAGTGCGTTATGTAAAGAAATGGCCTCGGGGTGGACTTGAATAGTTCAGATCTTTCAGTGTTGGAAGCACATCTTTCAGTGCTTTTAAGACGTCCTGAACTCGAATTTCTATTGGCAACTCTCAAAGAATATTAATTACAGAATTAGGTCATCACGAGGGGATTACTGTAATACAGCTGTATTTTATTCCTGGAGCTTTAAAAACATCTTAAATTTAATGTGCTGTGAATACTTTAAATTCAGAAACCATTCCAGGGAGAGTGACCTGCACCTTTAGCTGGACGTGTTGCACTCTTCTCAAAGGCGAACCTTCCCAAATATATCGAGTGTTTGGTTGCTGAGAAGAGTAACTGCTTGTGATGTTCTGTGAGTTGTGAGCACAAGTCTCGAACTCAGTAGATTTATTCTGTTGTATGCTCATGAAATATCACGTATTTAGGATTAGGAACTAATAAGGACAGCTTAGAATAATCCTGTGCTGTGTCAGAGCATGACATTAGCATTTGGGTCTTGAAATGAAAACAGAGCAAAATTACAAAATACGATTTCACAGGCCGGTGGGTACAGCCACTCGGGTGGAATTCGGGAGCTGCGGGCTGTATCCCTGGTTCGACCTAGGCTGTCGGAACTTGGGACAATTGCCTCGACTCTCTTTAATCCCGTCTCCTCGTTTGTCAAATGGGGCTGGTGGTAGAACTTGATGATTCTAAACCCCCGGAAAAACAGCAGAATCCAGAAATAAGCATCACGATCTTTTTCTGTCAAGAAAGCTTATATGGGCTAGGATAGGGAAATGACTGAGGACAACCCCGGGCCCCTAGCATGTCATCTTTAGACTATAAAGGAAGGAGAAGAGAAAGAAGGTGCTCATGCGACGAGTGCTGCGTAACTTTTGCTCTGTCTTTCGATGAGCGCCACTGGGCGGGGAGCCACTGCCAAAGGGAAGCACACTAACTGCAGTGATGATGTGGAGAGAAGCAGGTTCCTGGGCTTAAATCTAGAGGCGACTCAGACCCGGGGAATCATCTGAGCAGAGGCTTCACTCGGATGCTGAAGTCCTGCCTTGTCCCGGAATCGTGGCAGAACATCACAGCTGGCTGGGGCCCGTACTGACAGCTGTCTCTCATTTCCTGTGACTTATCAGTAATAAACCACCTGAAAACCTGCTTGGCTCTCAGGAAATCGGCAGTGGGGACATGACAGTGACAAGCACCAGGCTCACACAGAAGACGAAGGGGCAGCTACCACAGCTTGATTTCAGAAGGATTTCCTGGCTCCCAAGCCTCATAAAATGGCCACGGCCTTTTATGACAGAAGAAGGCAGTTAACTGACTTCTTCAAAGGGTCCTTCGTAAGTAGAAGACTTTCCAGCCTGGTGCTGCTTCTCGTTTGAAACCGAAATTTGTCAGACAACCAAGTTCTTAGTTAAAAGCTGTTCTCAATTACCACGGACCTGCATACGTGGCCGTGGTAGATCATCCCATCAGACAGGAAATTATTAAGAACTTCAAGCCCAGAGAATTTGGTGCAAAGCCACAGACTGCTTACCTCATTGCTATAAATTAACCTAAAAATCAAAGACTTCCAGAAAAGCAGTCTTGGTTTCTTGGTTTCTTTGCCGGGCAGGTAAGTTTGCATTTGATGTGAACAGAAATCGAGTCCTTGATCCTTGTCCGATGACAATTACTAAGGCTTTTCCAGGAGCAGAGCCACAAAACCGCCGTCAGAAACCTAGACTCAGCCTACTCACCACTCCATCTTCTTCCTCAGAGGCGACGCGTCTGGGGAACAAGTGCACGACGCGGACCAACAGCAGCATCCTTGGTTTCCTTCAGATGGCTTATTTCCAAAGCAGTCTGTCTCACAGAAGTGGCTCTCTTCCTCCACCCTGAACCTTCTTTCAGTGGTCCATCTCTCCACACCCCCTGCCTCAATTTCATGGGGTCCAGTCATAGGAGATGCCATACCTAAAGGCCTGGAAATGACTTCACTGCACTGCAAACTCGGGGCTTCAATGGAAGAGAGTGCAGAATTTGAATTCTCTACACTCCTAAGTCCCCGTCTTCACAGTTTCTCTCTTGCTAATACTTGACAGCATACAGAGGGTTTTCACGTGCATCTCTCTCTCGATCGTCAGACTCCGTCAGCGGGGCGGGGCAGATACCGCTGTGCACGCCTCTCGTCAGAGAAACTCAAGTTCCCTTGTGTCTGGTCAACCCCACTGCGGTCGCTCCTACCCCTCCTCTCCTCGCGTGGTCCCCAGCCCCCTCCCCATCCCTGCACCACTCCTGCTGGGACATGCACGCGGCACCCCAGACGGCCCTGGATAGAACCGCTTTCTGGCTCGCTGTAATTCCTGCAACGTGCTCCTCCCCTCTTCAGGTGGGAAACACTTCACATGGCCGCTTATGTATGTTCTGGGGGTCAGACTACCAAAGTAAGGCTCTCGAAGCTAACTGGGTAATTTTATTTTCTTCCTGTATCAGCTATCTCTAGGATAGGGATCATGTCCCTTTAACTTTTACATAGTATATAACACGGCCATTATCTCTTCTTAACGCAAACAAAAACCCCAATCAGGGCACAATTTGGGCACTGAAGTTAAACTCAACAAGCTTCAGTCCCCTCCATGATCAGGCCACAAATACCCCACGCTTCTAAAGACAATATAAAACAGGGGCACTTTAAAAAGCTTGATTTTAAATTAAAATCAGCAAATGACAAAAACCTTTTAAAAAGGCCTTTTCTTCCCCTGTAAGAACTATCACATTATTGCTCTGACAAGGGAAGAGAGCTGGAATTTATATCTTCTTGCTTAAAAGCACGTTTTCCTCTTAACTGTAAAGCTGCTCGCTAAGGGAAGAGGCTAGGAGACAGGCAACTCAACTATCCTGAACTCCAGCTTATTTCTGCCTAAGCAGAGTACCACTAACCCAAAGTTAGATATAACACGTCCAGGATTAACTAGCAGAGTTTCACTGTGTGTGCCTGCCACAGGGAGGCAGAATGACAGCTGTGCTGATGTGAGACTGTTGATTTTGCACAACTGCTTTACAATTGAGGCAAAACGTTCAAAGTTCCAAAGATTAATTTTTAAAAACTGATTCAAATCTGCCCTGAGGACAATGCAAACTAAACAATTACAAAGAAGTGGACAAATGGCAGACACTCATTCTGCCAAGTTAAGTCAGAAGTCACTCATCCGTGAAAACACCTGAAAACCTCAGTGCATGAAAAAGCAGTCTGTAAAAATTCAGCTTCACACAAGTGTCTCCCAGGCAATTTTCCAGTCCAGTTCAGATGCCTGAGGCATGTGGCGGGTGAGTGGAGGGGCTGTCACTCAACTTGTAGGATCTGCACAGTGAAGGTCACCTGCGGGTGGCCCTGGAGGAGGGCAGCGGCAGCGGGCCTGGGGCCAGGCCAGTGGACTTGGCGGCAGGGAAGCCCTCGTCTAGAGGCATCGTGCACGTGAACCAAGCCGCCAGCACAGCAGGAGGGAGCACCCCTGACTTACACATTACGTTATCTTTCTCAAAACGGAGACGAGTTAACTACGACAGGTACCGCCTTGTGTGACATAGGCACTGGAAAAGCAGGGTGTGCTTTCAGCAACGGGACAAGAGCCGCACAGCAGCCAGTGCTCAGTGGCATTTTCCAGCAAGAATTTAGGTGATGGCAGAATTTTATTTTTAATGTTTTACTCTTCAATTTGTAAAATTTATTAATTGAACTAGTTCAAATTATACCTCAAGTGAAGAATGTGAAATGGAAAACCACGAAGATGTTTAAAATAAATAATTTATTTATTCAAAATAGTTTTTCTTACCTTATTCAGTTTCAAGTTTAAAATGGAAAAAAAAGGAGGGGGTAGTACCTATTCTTGATCAACTGTCATACAAAGTCAAAGCAGATCCCTTCAGAACATGCACTAAATACAGAGAATTGCACAATGGCTGGTCTTTGAAAAATCCTGTACTGAAGCTTAAAAAGGGCAGGCTTTTCTGTGCGATTTAGAAGGAAACACTGTAGACGTACAGGAGGTTTCTTTAACCAACTTGAACCACTAGAATCATCTGGATAAAAGTTCCCTTGACCAAAGTAACGTTTATCCAAGATAATTACACCTTAAACCCACGTAGCTTAACAGACTTCAAAAATACTTAAAAGCGTAACTGCATCACAGCAAGTCTATTAATATTGAGGTACCACATACTTTCGAACAAATAAATGCGAGAGCTCTAAGTCTGATTCGGACATTGGCACCTCCAGTGAAGAAGCCAAAGAGCTCGACCACGACTGCCTGTCATGGGAAATGAGAACTCCGTTTCCACTGTCTGTTTTAAGTGGATATTCGCCTCATGTTTAATGAAATGGAGCACCGAATGGACAAACCTGCCCCGAGCGCGGAAGGCACCGACAGCATCTCTGCGGACGCGGCCCCAGGCGTGAGTCACTGAACAGCGCCGCCGCCGCCGCGAGCCAGCTGGTCCAGCAGGTGGACGAGGGCGTCGATTCTTTCCGAGAGACTTGCGGTTTTGCTGGCTGTAGCTCTCAGGAGCTGAGAGTAAATCTGTTTGTTGGTTTTGAGGACAACATCTTCTTCAAGGTTACTACTGGGTTAGAAAAAAAAAAGGAGGAATGAAGCAAGCTGTGATGCCAACAACAGCTGTAAAAGAGATGCCAAGACTAGCAGCCCAGCCGCCACTTCACAGGGAAGCGGGTGCTCTCCTGATGTCGACTCCGTACCTCCCTTCTTGCACTGCTTGCTTATGGGCCTGCTTTTAAACATTTATTTCAAAACATCAATTAAAGCCAATGATTATTCTTTTTATAAGTATCTGAGTGCCTACCATGTACCAGGAACTGCTCCTGGTTGTGAACAAAACAGACCTGGAGTCCCTTCCTTTGTTGAATCCACATTCTACATACAGAGGGAGGAGCTGGGGGAAGACGTACTGAGCAATGAAGAGAACAGACTGTCAGGTGACATGTGCTGTGAACAAGAGCGAGCGGAGACGCGGGGGCACAAGGAAGCCACCCAGCACGTCCCCTGCTCCTCGCCGGCCTCAGGGTTGCGGGCACACCCCAGTGCCAGCGCCTCCCGGAGGGACGTGCGGCACCCCGGTCTGTCTAAAAGGTCTGTGCTGCGTCTGCGTGAAGAACCCCCTCCGCTGGAGAGTTCTAGACAGAACTTCTGTTTCAAACTGTTTTAACAAAAACTTTTTAAGTTTGCACTTTATTTTTAAAACATTTCCCTGTAGGTCGATCAATGGATGTTTCATTTCTACCATCTTTTTTTTTTTTGAGAGGAATGTAATAAATTCAGAGCCCCGGCCACACGCGACCAGGGAAGAGCAGGTGCGCACGTGAGGTGCTGGACGACCCTGCCTGTCGCCTCAGGGTCGCCTCAGGAGGGTAAGGCCTAGTGTGCTTATTTTAGAGATGTAACAACTACAGCCCAGAAAGATAAAACAATTTGGTTCAAGGTCCAAACGTTTTCTGAATTCAAATGTGTGCTCTTTCTACTCTCCGATATGCCAACCTTCCACCTCGGCCTGAGCGCCTGTGGGTCAGGCGCCAGAGAGCGAACCAGCAGTCAGGACGCCCTCCGCCCCGCGTCAAGGCTCAGGCTGGAAGGACCCCTCTTCTCTCAGGGCTCCACTCGCTCCTCCTCCACAGGACCCACCCTTCCCACTGGGCGGCCGGCGGGGCCCAGGCTCGGGCCGGCCACCACGGGAGCCCCGCACACACCCTCTTTACAGACTGTTTCTCCTCTCCTCTTGTTCTTGCTCCTACCGGGCTGTCTCCTCTCTTCACCACCCCCGACCCCCGCCCAAGACCACCCACAGCACAGTGAGGTGACTGTTCCACTGACTGCCTGCAGTTTGGGCCTAAGGTGGGTATGTTTTACATTTTTGTTTTGGGGAGAGGGGTTAACGTTCGCAAAACCTCTGATAACCTTATAAGACATTTAAACTCCTGCCAGTAATCAAGGCAACAGCACTGAGCAATCAGAAACACTGTTTGAAACATGACTTCTTTATGGACAGTGACATCACTGTCATTGCAGCCAGATGCCTGAAGGTAACTGCGGCTTCTGAGATCATAAATGCAAAATAAAACCCTTTGATTTGTTCAATGATCATACTTCTGAGTCTTAAATCTTTATCTTCCAATTTCTACAAATTGTCCCCTTCCTTAAGCAACTCTCCACAGTTAATGAAACCACGAACTTGGTGCCAAGGGCTCTTGTCATTTCATAGGGTTATCGTTTTTCCAAAGGAAGGTACATTCTTTTCCTTTTACTAATCTCAACCAAGTATTAAATGGACATACCTGGCCAGGAAAGCCCATGTATCTAAAGGATTTGTTCTCTGACTATGGCAGAGGGCATCCAAACCCTCAGAGATTACTTCTTTTTTAAAAATATTTTTTCATTATATTAAACCCCAAGGCCATCAAAAGGTCAAGAGACTCCGATCTGCTAAAGCAATGAATATTAAAATGCAGTACAAACGCAAACACACTCTTGATCCAAAAAAGAAAAACACAATCCCACAGACAAAACCAGTGTTTCTAGCAGGACAAATAAGTGCCTGCACAATCTCAAAAGGAAAACAAAAATGATTTTCCTTTTCTTAGATTTCATTCCAATTCTTTAGGATTCATAAAAATTTAAGATTTTAAATTACCAAGCTCAGTTTATTCTTTTTTTTTTTTTGGACTGGAGGGAGGGCGAAGAAACAGTCAAAACAAAACATAAGTGTATGACTATGTCCTTCCTTTTAAAGGCTAATTTTGATTTCCCTTTACTCCAAAAAGGAGTGTTCGTGAATTCCTGGTGAAACGACGGGGTTAGCAGCACATGCTGTTTTCCTCTTCCCAATAAAGGTACAGGTGTTTTCATCTGCGTATCAGTGAAACAGGAGAGAAACAGTCACTGACTTACTAACCCAATGTGTAGTGAAACCTGTCAACACATCAACTGTATTAACACATGCAGTCTCTTATTCAATAAACCTTAAAAAACTAACACAAATTGGCTAAATAGGACTTTATGCATCATGTGTGAGTTTAGATTAAAATTTTTTAAACAGAAGAGACAGAATAAACAGAAGGTTAGAAGACCCTCCACTAAAATAAAAATCACTTAGGTCATACA